TAAGAAAAGGTAAAAGATAATGTTTAAGTAATTCTACATACTTTTCAGCATTTAATTTTCCCTCAATTAGTACTAATAGTCCTACAGTCAACTCTTGTTATAATGAACTCTATGTCTTAGACCTCAACTTTACTATAAGGCTATAGTGAAGATTTTAAGAGATTTGATTGGCCAATTCTCTATAACAAGAGTATTTTTATTATATTTGTTCAAAAAATTCGTTATATTAAAAGTTCACTATATTAAGAGTTGACTGTACTTTAAAGTTACAAAAATAACCCTAAACTATAATCCCTTTTAACTTTTGAATTGTTGAAATTAAACAATCTTTTGCATATACCTCATGAATCCTACGCCAAATCTATTGATTAGCATCATTTCTAAATAATTCAAAATGAGATTCATCACTAAAAATTATAAAATTCCATTTATCTTGCCAACTTTTTCTAATATGATATCAAAGTAAATGTTTTTTTTTATTTATATCAGAAACTAAAGTTTTTCCTATTAGTATGCTATAATAACCCATAGAATGCAGTACTCGCTTAATAGTTTTACTACTTAATAAAATATTAAGACTCTGGTTAAATTGTTCAGTAATTTCTTCCATGGCTTGTTTACAGTTTTGTCAGATTATTCTTCTTAGTTAACGTTTATCTTGTTCTAATAAAGCTGGAGGTCTACTACTCCTAGATGCAGTATCAGTGCAGTTTTCTTTATTGTACTTTGTAATTATATCATAGAAAGTAGATTTTAGTTTATCAAGAATTTCTGAAATGTTTCTTATGCTATGTCCGCCCTTTGATAAACCTACAATTTCTCTACGCTCAAAAGGTGTAAGCTCACAGAGTTTTGGCATTTTTATATATTAAAATAATTATTTATAAAAAAATTTTTTTTTATTTAAAAAAGTGAAGCTGTGAGATTCTAGAAAAAAAAAGAATAACAAATTTGGTTAGAAATTAGGTGTTCTATTGTTATTTAAAGATCAGTAATATACAGTTAAATTTGTATAATATCACAATTATCCAGATACTTTTGTCTTATATATGTAGAGGTACATAGTTTATTAGGAATCATTAAATAATATTTGAAAAGATCAGATTCTATAATGTGCGTATTTTCTTAATATAAGGAGCAGCAATCATAATATTTGAATATCATGTAATAGTAAGGACCTATGAGTAGTAAACAGTATTTAATATAAATAGTAACATTAGAATATGTGAAGTAACTAGTAATAAATGATTTAATAACTAAATTCTATCTAACTATATAGTTGTATATTCTAATGTTTTATTTTAGAGAACAAGTAACATAACTATAATATTAGTTTTATTTAAAATTGGTCAGAGATTGCAGAGCTTTATTTTCATTAAGGTTAATTAATCTTTCTATAGTTGTAAACCATTTGGAAGTTCTATGAAACTGCTTTTCTACATGAGTAATGATATACAGATCACTATAAATAAATATGTAGTTATTATAATAGCTGAATAGTTATTCTACAAAAAAGAATAGAACATTTACTAAAGTCAATAGTAAAGTTCTATAAGGAATAGGAATTAAATCATATATAGTATGCAATCCTTCTTCAATGATTTGATAAAAGGTGTATGATATATTCAAAGATATGTTGAGTATTTTAAGATTACAGAGGAGTGACGAGAGCTAGTTGTTATTCTTATGTAGCTTATTATAAGACTAAAATATCAGAGAACTTTTTTTAACCATTCTTTGAGCTGTAGTTACTTGACTTTAATGATAAATTATAAATCCAAGATATTTGTTTCATTGATTATCTGTAATAGTGCTGAATTAAAATTCTGAAGTAGTTTTTAGTATAAGGGAATGATATTATAGAAATAATATGAGCTAAATAATTCAGTGTATGTTAACCATGAAGCTTAAATATTTTCTTTAAGAATATAATAAAAATGGCTATCAATTTTTTACATTAAAGTGTTGATAGAAGTGTAAGTTATAAATAGTATTCTATCTGTAATAGAATGACTGTATCATAAATGTAAATCATCTATGAATCAGTTAAACATTTATTTTTCATGATTGTGATAGCATTTTTAATTTTTGAATGTAATTAGTTTATAAAGCTCTGAACAGTTCAGATTAATCTGAAAATTTTTAGTTCGGATCAACTTTGGTTCAGTTTCAGATTGCAAAAATTTCAATCCGAAAATTTTCGGTTCGGTTCAGATTTTTTTCAGATTATAAATCTAATCCGAACTGAAAAAAATCTGAACTGAACCGA